GGGCGGGCACACGCACTCCAGACTGGTCGGGCCAATCATCGTCCTGAGGTGGACTCACACAAAGCCCGCTCTTGGCCCTTGTGACAATATCCGCACTGATGGACACACTGGAATCCGCCCCAACCGGAAGCGGACGCAGGTGGCGTCGTTGGCCGCTGTGACGACCCAGCACTCTCACACGGCCCTCACGATCCAATGCCATGCCAGACCGAGTGGCAGATTCCTCCTAACTATCCCCAAACCGTTCTGTACAGAATACATTGTTCCTACCAATCTGGCCTTCCAAAGACTTATCTATTTTCCCAAGAAACCGGGCCTGGAAGATTGCAGCTGACAGGATTAACCTTATTAGCCTTAACACTACCCGATAAGCACACGTAACGATATCTCCGTATATGAGTCATTCGGGTAGTCGCACGTCATCAATCTCCAAATGGTGGCTGTTCTATCGCAGTTGCACTTGTCTCAGCATGGTGTGGATGCATTGCTCCAAGGCTTCCGTGCTCAGGATCCTGTCCTACTATCTCAAATTTATTATTCTGAAGAGACAGCTGAGACGGAATTTCATCTGTTTTTTGGCTTGGATTACAAATCCAATTCTCCGACCCATAGAAGAATATCGTCAAGAAGACGACGTCGTACGTTTTTGTTTGCGGTTTAATTGGAAGTCGTAGCGATTTCACACGGAGGCTTGCAAATGAGTGAAGACCCCCTTCAGTAACCTCGTCGTTTATTCTTGTTTTTAGTGAAAGTGTTCCTCCAATGTTAGTTAAGTCGTCTACAGTTTGGAAATGGGTACCGTTGACAATAACTCAAGGAGCGTTATATGCCCCGCTTGGTAACGGTTGGTGCATGACCACCGTTCTGTCCGTTTTTATTCTCAGTCAGAAATTAGCGCAACCGGCAGTGATAGGGTACATGCTCCTTTATGTGTTCTCTTCTAACATGATTTTGAATGCGCGGTCTTCCGTGAAGAGCAAGTCGTAAAATGAAGTCAGGGACTCACGCATTGGGGCCTGAATGCGCCAGTTATTGAGAAGGTGCCCCCCAGTTCTGTAGATGAGGCCGATCCTAGAGCGCTCGTCAAAGTAGGTGCCTATCAGCATGACAGATAACATGAGACTGATAAGGGTGAAGCAAAAACAAAGCCCTGCTTCACTTCAATGATTACTTCGAAGGCTTCAGAGTCGCTGGTTTTCCAACAACACAGACCGAAATTTTGGGCGCGGTATGTGGATGACACCTTCGTCGTCATCGAACGGGATCAAGTGCTCACGTTCAAGAAACGTCTCAACAACGTCTTCCTGGACATCCAATTTACGATGGAGGAGGAAGAGAACAACCAGCTG